AATTCAGGTACTGCAGTATTTTAAAAAATTTCATACTATGGTCGAAATGATAAAAAGGTTGCTTTAAAGTATATTCAAACTAATAATGGTAAAGAATACATATCCAAATATTTTAAAGAATATTATTTGAAACATGGGATCAGGCATGAGATGACAGAACTTGAAACACCACAGCAAAATGGTGTAGCTAAAATGATGAACTGCATTATTATGAAAAAAGTCAAATATATGTTGAGGATAAAAAAATTACTAAAGCCATTTAGGGTGAAAAAGTCAACAAGCCTATTACTTGATTAATAGATCACCATCAATTCTTTTGGGCTTTGACATTCCAAAAAGATTATGGACAGAAAAGTTGAAGGTTTTGAATATAAAATATTCATACATATGTCGAAGAGCTTAGGTCAAAACGTAATAGTAAAGCCACATAGTGTGTGTTTGTTGGATATGCGATGAGGAATTTAGCTACAAGTTATGGGATCTAGTGAAGAAAAAGATAGTAAAAGCAGAGATGTGATTTTTTATGAAAAAAAACTATAGTAGACCTTGAAAAGAGTGAGAAGACTACACAAATTACTATTAAGTATAATGATTCAACACTGATAAGGTTTCACCTAGAAGAGCCACGGATGGTGAAAATGAGTAAGAGACAGAACTTGGGGATATGAATGATGTAGCTATAGCTAGTGATGAGCTAAATGCAATCGCTTTGAGTAGAATGAGCAATCTTTTCCACTAGAGTGTGTTGAGTAAGGTCAACAATCCTCTTCACTAAAAATGTTGAGCAGAGAGAGCAACCTTAGGCATCTAGTAATGTAAAGTCTTAGATTAGGGGATCTACCAAAAAGTATTGGTCATCCATTAAGTACCCAAGTTTAAATTTTATTGTAGTTACCAATGAAGGAAAGCCAATGAGCTTTCAAGATGTGTAAACTATTCAAGATAAAAAGCATTGGTTGAAAAAATGAAAGAATAAATGGAGTCATTGCAAAAAAATGATACATATAATCTTGTTAAACTTTCAAAAGGGAAAAACTATTAAAGAATAAATGGGTGTTCAAATTAAAAAAAGATGGTGGTAAGTTAATGAGGTATAAAGCTTGATTGATGATGAAAGATATTTTTCAAAAACTAGATATAAATTTTGATGAAATCCTCTCTCCAGTTGTCAAAATGAGTTCTATTCGAGTGATATTAGGACTAGTAGCTAATTTGAATCTTGAGCTTAAGTAACTTGATGTCAAGACTATATTCCTACATGGTGACTTACAAAATGAGATTTATATGTATTAGCCTGAGAAATTTGAAGTGAGAAAGAAAGACATCTAATTTGCAAAATGAAAAAAGCTTGTATGGCTTAAAACAAGCTTTGCAATAGTGATACAAGAAGTTTGATTCTTTTATGTTGAGTCATAGCTATAAAAGAATGGTAGTGGATCTTTATGTGTATGTCAAAAAATTCTCTAATGGTAACTTCATTATTCTCTTATTATGTGTTAATGATATGTTGATTGTGGGATAAGATGTTAGTATGATTCACAAGTTAAAAGAATAATTGTCTAAGTCATTTGACATGAAGAATTTAGGTCCAATAAAGTAGATTCTTGGTATGGATATTATCTTAGATTGAAGAATTAAGAAGCTGTGGTTGTCATAGGAAAAATATATTGAACATGTGCTTAATATATTCAACTTATAGCATGCTAAATCAATTAGCATGCCATTTGCCAACAATTTTCATTTAACTAAGAAATCTTATCTACCGACTAAGGAAGAGCAATTAGTTATGTCTAATATTATTTATTCCTCTATAATCAATTATTTAATGTATCTTATGGTTTGTACATGCTTGACATTGCTTATGCAATTGGTGTAGTGAATAGATTTCTTTCTTATCCGAGAAAAGTTCACTAGGAATCAGTTAAATGAATTTTCATATATATAAGGTGCACCTAAAAAATGTGCTTGAGTTGTGGCACTACACAATCTGTTCTAGAAAGGTTTATTGATGTTAACATGGTAGGTGAGCATGATGGTAGGAGATCTACTTTAGAGTATATGTTCACTTTTGTAGGAAGAGCTGTGTCTTAGTAGTCTATGTTGTAAAAATGTGTTGTCTTATCAACTATAGAGGCTGAGTATATTGTAGCAACCATAGTAGGTAAAAAAATGCTTTGGATGAAATATTTTCTTCTTGAATTAGGATTGAATTAGAAATAGCATGTGGTGTTTTGTGACATTCAAAGTGCTTTAAATTTGAGTAAGAATACCATGTACCATACTAGAACAATATACATTGATGTTAGACATCACTAGCTATATTTGGTAATTAAGAATGTAGCAGATATATTGATTAAGAAACTTTTCAGAGAAAAGCTTGAGATCTGCAGTAACTAAGTAAGAATGGATTCCTTGGTCAAGGTAAGTTTCAAATGAAATTGTTATGGTGATGGATCTTCTCCTAATAGGATTGGAAAGGGAGATTGTTATGATATGAGTCTAACCCCATATGTTTGAATAATAAAAAAGCCCATAAAGTTTTTTGTTTTAGACAACCAAAAGCCTAACTTAAAAAAAAAAAGGTTAGGGATATTTTTATAGTGGTATGAAAGTATGAGTTGCCAAGGAAAAAAAGTTATTACTAAGGCATAAAAGGAAATAAAGATAAGGGGAGAGCTGCTTGTTTGATCAAGAAGTTGAACGGAGCTTAATTCATGGTTTGATTAAGCTAAAATTTTATCAGCACGTTCATATCTTATTGTTTTACATTTTGAACAATGGAGATCACGTTAAAAGCTTTTTCTAAACAAATCTAGAATGTATTTGTTGAGTTAACTAGCTGGAAGGATTTCTCCAATTGTCTCTTTAATTTTTGTTAAGCTTTAGTTTTAGCTAAAAGAGAATTCTATATATCCATTATTTGATAGTGGAGATTTTTCTAATAGTCATTATTTTTTTCCTTTACCTTGAAGGGTTTTTCACATAAATCTTGGCATGCTTTATTTTTCTTGCATTGTTGATTATTGTTTATTATCTATTTGCTGTGGATTTATTGTAATATATTACTTTTGCATGATTATGTTTGTCACTTTAGACCCAACAAAAAGGTCATATTCAACAATGTGGAAATAAGAGTTGGTGGAACTTGAGCATGAAGAAGAGTTCGATTAATGAATAGGGCAATGCTAGGAGACAAGCTTCAAGTTGTGTCAGCCAAACTATTAATGACATGAGTAGTGGAAGTGCCATTTACCAATGTATACTAATACATCGAGACAAACTCCCCACATTTGAAAATAGTTACCTAGTAAAATGCACATGTTATTAATGTTGAGTTATCTGCCCTTTTGTTGGGTCCTAAAGATTTATGAACTTTATTTAAACAAAAATAAACCCAAAAAATTCATGAAACTTTTTTTTTCTCAGTCAAAGAAGAATTTTTATTAATGAAATCAGTCTTATGTAGACTAAGATCTAAGAAAAAAATTCACATGATAGACAACATCCAAAATATAACAAAAAAAAGACAAACACCCAAAGCATCAACATAAAATTCCTTTCTAAGCTTGTCAGTTTCATTGACAATTACCCAATCTCTCTAAGGCCACTAAACAACATTGCACACCCAAGCAATGGCAATCTTTGAATTTAATTCAATAGCTGAATTGTTTTTAAGCATTCCACCATGTCCTATGATATATGGTTTACCCTTAAATGAACCATTAGCAAAGAACTTCAATGTATTCCTACAACATAAACCTAACAATTCCTAATCAAGGCTTAGACACCAAAGAACTACCACCAAAGCTCTTCAAATCATTCCACCAACAATATTTATCCACACACAGTCCAACCCTAAATCTTTCACCCAAATCATAACTCTTGTTAGAATAAGGAATAAAATTTCTACCTCACCCATTTTAAAAAGTCTCTTTTACTATAAAGCACCCATTGCAACCAACTTCCCAAACAAGTCAGTCCTTAGAATTAGCATGAAGATACATCGTTTAACTCATTTAATAATTTCTTCAAAAATTCACTTTCATAATCTCATAGTTGTCTCCTAAATATAATGTGTTAGGGGCATTTTAGTGTTTCAAAGGCAAAATGAACTTGGTCATTCTAGTTGACCTAACACGTTGAATGGACCTAAAATCTTGAGCTCCATGTTAGCTTGGTCACCTCAACCAATCACCTGCTAGCACATGCAAATGCTGACTTGTCATCCCCAGATTAGACTATCAACTACCAACTCAACTCGAGCCTACGATACCATCGCTAGCCCTCTACGCCAAACTTGAGCCACCTAAGTCTAAGGTCCCTCATTGAATAGGTATAAATATCCCCTTCCAAGTACTCCTAAACTTATCGGAACACTAGCTTCCTTTTTTACATTTGGCCTTTCTTTCCTTCACACTTCTTGCCGGAGCTCTGACTTGAACATTGAAGAACAAATGTTAGAACAACTTTTGACCTTTGTCATTAATCGATCTTCTTTTCATGTGCTTTCACATTCTTACCCCTCGTAAACAACTTGACACCAACAAGACACTACATACATTCTTTGGTTAATTAAGATAATAGCACATTTCTTACGTATTCATTTTTTTACGAAAATGTAAATTGCATACTTCATTTCATAATTTGTAAAATTAAATAAACATCTAGATATTATATAGTCTGTAATAATTGAAGGAATAAGATGTCAGGTTGTCATTTTTAGTGTTTAATTCTTGCCGTCCTAAATAATATGCAAATACCTTGGCTACTTTTCAGACACGTTGGCTTTCAAATTGTGAGCCCATAATACACTTTCCCGAAACTTCTGTTAAAGTATCAGGTATGCGCAATCAAAACTAAGCCACAGAACTAAAGTAGCTGATATTTCTGAAAAAAACGAATTTGTATAAAGGGAGCTCTCAGCTTAGTGTCTTTGCACAGAAAGAAACATTAAGCAACAACATGTGGCGGACGGTAATGATAACGAAGTAATTGTAAGCAATAAGCAGGTGATATGGAAGGACTCAATTACTGGGTTTCCAAAGGAATCAGACATGGCTATCACCATTGGAAATATAAAACTGAAGGTTCCAGCTGGTTCGAAAGCAATTCTTGTGAAGAATCTTTACTTATCATGCGATCCCTATATGCGGCATTTAATGAGAAGCCAAGGCTCTCTGTTACTCCATTCCTATACCCCTGGCTCTGTAAGCCTCTTCCATTCCTCCAGCAGTTGTTTCTACACTTGCAATGTATTATATATTTTCTAGGGTTTGTGACTTTTTCTAGAACATTTGCAGCCAATAACTGGGTTCGGAGTGGCTAAAGCTTTGGACTCAGATCATCCAGATTTCAAGGAAGGAGACTTGGTTTGGGGCACGACCGGATGGGAAGAGTACTCTCTTCTGACCGCACCCGAAGGACTCTTTAAAATTCAGCATTCTGATGTACCCCTTTCCTACTATACTGGAATTCTTGGTATGTACTAAAAATGAAATTATTCTTTTATCAAATTTAAATTTATTTGGAACCAACAAGAGAAAAAATTAGTGCACGTAAAACAATTGAAGTGAAAAAAATTAAAATTTTAATTAAGCAAAATTTGAATATTAAAATTTATGCATTACTATTACATCTTGGAAAATAAATTTATCTAAATTTAACCGATGGGATCTTATCACAATGAAAAAAAAAAATGCTATGGAGCCTTTAGGTCTTGGGTACCGGGTGTTCATTCTATAAACTGATCTGAGTTGACATTTCTAAAGCTAGATATGAACCCAAGCTCGGTTATTATTAGAATATTAAAAAATAATTTTTATTAATATTATAATATTTTAAAATATATTTTTGTAATTTTTAATTTTTAATCCAAAATTTCGGCTTGGAAAATTTTGCCTTAATTCTAATTATTTTTATTATTTTCTTCTTAACAAGGCATGCCTGGTTTGAGTGCTTATGCGGGGTTCTATGAGGTTTGTTCTCCAAAGAAAGGCAAATATGTTTTTGTGTCAGCTGCATCTGGTGCTGTGGGACAGCTTGTTGGACAATTTGCAAAGCTGATGGGTTGCAATGTTGTTGGTAGTGCCGGAATAGAGAAAAGGTGAAACCTCTTATCATAAGCCCTAATATACCTAACACGAATGGACTACAAATTTTAGCTTCAATTGAACATGGAGATGTTATTTTGTCAACGTATTAGCATATTAGAGTTAATTTTCCATATATCACAATAATATTTTTATAAAATTAAATTCATTCTTAAAAATAACAATCATAATCAAATAAGTCTTAATAGATCAAATACAACCTTAGCGAAAGAAGGATTTGTAAGTTGGAACCTTAATGTTGCCATTAAAAGAATACTTCATTGCCTTCAACAGTACAATTCTCAGGGATTCAAATAGTAATGGAATAACAGTCGTTATTTCGTGGTAACAGCATTATTCGCCACCATTAGTGAGGAAAAAACATAAGAGAATTTGAATCTTGAAAGCAATGGTAAATTGCGGTTGTGAAAAGTGGTACAACGATGAATAACGACTGCAATGATGATCCATTATTATCGTTTTTCATTCAAACATTCAATCCCAAAAAAATCATTTTGTTAAAATTTTAAACCAAGAACAACCTTATACTGACAAATTCTTTAATCCATAAATTCAGCCCATAAAACACAATCAATTTAGTCCAATTTAGATTCAATTAAGAATTGAAGGTAAGTAAGTAATTTGAAGCTCAAATTATCTTTTCTTTTTAAATTATATAAATTTGTTATGATTTTTTTTGGTTGAATAGGACTAGAGTTTGTTGCTCTGTGTTGATGTGTTGTAGTGGTGCTAAGTAATAGGGGCAGCCTGAGTGCTTAGGGCTAGGTGTCAAGTGGGTTGAAGGCAAAGACTAGAGGGTGAACGTGACTCTATGAGAGAGGAAAGTGACGACAGGTCAAGAAAAATGAAGGAATTGGTGAGTCAATGAGAGATAGAGGTCCAAAGGATGTGGCCATAAAGGTGAGACTTGAGACTTCTAGTGATGACAGTAGGTCGGAGAGGATTTTTGCTTGGCCCACCTTAGACCCAACCTTCTTATCTTTTTACTCGAACTCTTAGTTGCCTTTGATCGAAGGTTTTAGATATAAAAACCAACTTTGACCTATCAAGAAAAATGGTTCCCTGATTTCGACCCAAAGTTTTTGACCTAACTACTTATAAAACAAAAAATAATGTGCAAACTAAAATGGAAACTCCCTTTACTTTTGTAACAATAATCAAATTTAAAAACTTAAAGAAGAGAATGAAACAATAAACCAACCAATATAAAACAATACAAAAATCCAAGCTTTACTCACTTGAAAATAACCTTACTATTACAGAACCAATTAATAGAAGGAACCATTTGCACCCAAAAAGAAGTCGATAAAATTTATGAGTTTTATCATCCTTTTGTATAAAAGAATGGATGAGTCTGAACGTAAGTTGGATGAATTTGGGAATTGAGATTGAGAAAAAAAATTATTAATCTTTGAAAGAAGAAGGAGATAGTGAGATTTGATTTTGAAGGAGGGAGGTAGAATCGCAAAAAGGGGATTTGATGGGAATGTTAACATCTAGCCAAGTATGTTCATATGTCATAGGTTGGGAGCTTAAACCTAGCAACCATATAGCCTTAGACAAGAACTATCATCCAATATGCCTAAGTTAGCCTTTCCTAGACACTATACCTAGCACTTGTGCTGTAAACTCTATTGGCTTTCTAGGAGTTTAGGAGAAAGCTAAGAAAGAGAAAGTTAAGTTTAGAAGAAAGCTAGAAAAGAGAAAATTAAGGTAATTTTATTATATTTACTAATGTATGTATAATTACACAATGTCACTACAATGACTCTTTTATGTCTATCACTAAGTCTCTATGTATGTTTAAATCTAGGATTATGTCTCTATGACTCTTACTTCCTATGTCTTATGTTATGACTTGTCTATGTTGTTCTAACTTAGTTGTTATTGACGAATGAGGATGAGGGCTCCCCTAATTATACTTGAGCTTCCCTTACACTTGTGGTCTTTATTGTTTTAAGTGTGCGGCCATTACAACCATTCTAGGCCATTCCAAGACCCTAGACTCAAGCTAGGTCGGTTAGGTCCTTTTTAGAACTTATCTAGTTCTAAGCTCCCTAATAAGCACCAGGCTTAGAAGAGTCCAGGCACCCTTGCTAATTGCTTGCACCTAACAGCTCTAAGAACCTTTTTCTTCTGGTCACTACTCTACCTATAGCTAGGGCCTTCCAAAATCTTTCTTGTTTGGGCGTTACAGTGCATGCACTTGCCCTTCTAGAACTTTTGTGTCCATGCTCTTAACTTATATCCAGGCTATTCTAGAGCCTTCTACACTTGATTGCCCATATTTTTAGGGTGTTATAAAACCTTCAAATAAACAATCCTCATACTTAGCACCAAATGCATATCTCAACGTACTCTCGCACCTTAACCTTGGCCCAGGGTTGCACTCTTAGGTTTCGTATATGCCTTTAGGGCCTCGATATCAATCCTTCATGGTCTTTTTCCCACACCAACTCGAATAAGTTTCATCACATTGAGAACTTGTGCATGGTCTATGACATATGCATCATGATATCCAGCTTTAGATTATTGAAAAGCTTAAATCTCTTGCCATTGCCCATGCCCCTAAAGAAAGGACAAATCACCACTATAAGTGCACACTCCAACTTCATGGTATTGTCTAAGAATGGCATTCACAATTTGATAAGTTTGTGTATAAAAAAAAGGGATTTGATTTTCGAGACAAAGAGAATGAGAGAGGTTGAAGTAGAGTAAAAAGAAAATAAAGAAAAGATTCTACCCTTGAATAATTTTTAATATATATAGGAGAGAGGCAAAAGTGAAGAAAAAGAATAAAGAAAGGTTCAAAATATTGTAACCTTGAATAATATTATATATATATATATGAAAAGTATTTTGGTAAATATATTGAGTTGGTTTATATTTTCTTTAGATCCACCTTCGATCTAACTCTGCTCCTTATAAAAAAAATAAAATGACTTAACCCAACTTGATTTCAAATTTTCAAAAAAAAACAAACAAATCATATAGGGTCAAGTTAGATTGTAACTCAATGGTTATGAGTTAAATTGTCATCCCTACTTGAGAGTGAGATCATAAATTTTGGTAAAAGTGAAGACTATAGACATGATATGGTAAGGGTTAGGTTTTCTTTAAACTAGCCTCCAACTCGATTCTATTTCTTTTGGAAAATAAAATCTATTTAACCTTAAATTAAAAAAAAAAAAATCAACTAAATGAAATCATAAATTTTGAAAAAAGTGAAGATTGAAGTTGCAACATGGGTGATTGGGTGAGAATAGGGAATTTGGAAAATTAGTATGGGCCATAAATTGGTCAAGCTATTGTTGGAGTAAAAAAAAAATTTTATGGAATTGGGAAGAGGGTTGGGGGAAATTTTAGGGAATCGAGTGAAGGTGAACATTAAAGACGCAGGGCAAGGTGGGAACTTAAGGGATTTCTTTTTTAATTTTTAGGGAATTTCTTTTATTTAAGGATTTTTTTAAAAACGAAATTTATTAATTAATGATTTTGTATTTAAATTTTTGTAATTTTTTTAGATTTGTATAGTTATTCATTTTTTCTAGTATTAGATGAGTTTTTATTAGTATTTTTTGTGTAATTAATTAACGATTGAAAATATCATTCATTCTAGAATAAATTAAAAGTAATTTATGATAAAAAATGTTAAATCAATTAGTAGGTGAAAAAATAAGTTACTTAATAAATTGGGAGTTTTACAATCAATTATAATTATATTTTTAAAGTTTGTAATATTAGTAAATATGAAAGGGAGGGACCTAAATTTAAAAAATGATATCCCTTTTTTAGCTATTGAATTCAATAAATCAAAGGGATGAGAGAGTCAAGTAAAAAAAATTAATTAATCTCATTTCTTAGATCTATTAAAATCAAAGATTAGAAAATGTGTAAAATTTTTTTACGTAAATTGTTCCCTTCCCAAATATGAATATTTGATATTTAATATGTTTTACTTTGTTAATATTTAATTTCTCAAAAATAAATATTAAATATGAATTTGACTCCAATAAAGATTAATTGTAAAATCAAATATAAATACTTTATTATAATTTCAAAAAATTCTTATGAATAATTTTTTAATTAAATAAAAGTTGTGAGATGTCATAAATTAATTTAAAAATTATAAAATAAGATTACTTATAATTATAATTGTAATTATTATATTTTATTGTAAATTGTGCCATTTAAAAAAAAAATTATGATCCCAATGACTACAATGATAACAATGATCCCTGATATGTAAAACAGGACATGATAGAAAATACTATCATAATCGTAATTTAAATCTCTAATTAGAACATTAATTGAATGTAAAATAAGGTTAAATGTAAATATGGAATTAATTCAATAGGCTAATGTTGGATATATAGTTCATATATTGTTGCTTGAATGCTCTAAACACATCTTTTTTTAACTCTCCATTGTTTTGAACCAGGTTGAATTGTTGAAGAACAAGTTTGGGTTTGATGATGCTTTCAATTATAAACAAGAGCATGATCTGACTGCAGCTTTGAAAAGGTCAGTATATATAATTTAAATGCTAAATAAGATCCATAATTTCACTCTCTGCTAAGTTGAATATAAATATTAGTTCCACTGATTTATATATTCATTCTTAAAACGTGACATTAAGGTCGGAGATTTAAAGTCCTCCTTTTCTTATCTTCATATTGTGTCCTCTTTTTTTATTATTATTATTTTTTAAATTGTTCATCTTTATGTATTAATATATTGTATATATCTACTCTCCAGGTACTTTCCTGAAGGCATTGATATCTATTTCGAAAACGTTGGAGGCAAAATGCTGGATGCTGTGATTCTCAACATGAGAATCCATGGTCGCATTACAGTCTGCGGGATGATCTCGCAGTATAATCTTGATCAACCTGAGGGGGTACACAACCTAATGTTGATCGTTTATAAGAGAGTTCGAATTGAAGGATTTTCTGTCTTTGATTACTATCCACAATATTCAAAGTTCTTGGACTTTGTATTGCCTTCCATCAAAGACGGGAAGATAAAGTATGTGGAGGACGTTGCTGAAGGCATACTGCTTTGGTAGGACTATTTAGTGGTCGCAACGTGGGAAAACAGGTTGTTGTTGTCGCTCCAGAGTGATTGATCAACCTTCTCCCTCCTGGTGCATGGATTTTCATGGTTTCTGTGAAATATGAAGGAACTAAATTGTGTTTTGAAAAGGATTACTTTTAGTTATGAACGAAAATTCGTCTAGAATTTGCTAATAAATGCTTTAATTAGGGTACTACAAGGTTGGTTAAATAATTAGTTATATGAATATTCTTATGTTAAATACATTAGTTGATAGTTCATTTTCTGAAATTTAATGCATTGAGATAACATATTGCTTGATATAATAATCTTAAAAAATATCTTTACAACACTCGTTATTAAAAATTAGTTTTATCTATGACATGTGTAATGTTTTTATGATTAAATGTACTTTCAATTAAATTTATAGTTGAAATTTAATGATTTTAAATTAAATATAAAATAAATAAAAATTAATTAAAAAATAATTTGAATTAATTTTAAAAGTCACGCTTACTAAACTTCATAGATAATAAAATACACTTACTGAACTTCATAGATAAAATAGTATTACACTTGTACTAAAATTCATAAAGAAGTTTTTCAAAGAGATTCACGTGAGAGGTTTCTAATCGAGTAACCAGTGAAGCACCCGTTAGTAGTCGGACTTGGTAGTATGTAAATTATTCCTTCATGGACAACATATACTGGACCCATATATATGGGACTGCCCCATTCGAAATCTGCATCATAAATAGGCAACCACATCCAACTATTAACAACTAGGTTTGGGCATCGGAAAGTATTTGATCCTCGAACCAAAGTGCTTAAATCAATCACTTTTTTTCCGTAATCAAAAGCTGATCTCAAATATTCATCATTAACCTACTTTAATAGCTCATCAATTCTCTTAACGGTGTCGGTAAATTGTTTGGATTAGAGATCACCAATTAGAGCAATTTGTGTAGCACGCAAGATAATATTGCCAATGTAGCCTGGTGGCAGAGGAGGATTTAACCTAGATCGTCCATCAGTTGGAATGAATAGCTTGGTAGCTTGATCATTTGAGAGACCCCTTGCTTTGCTTATACAACACCACAAATGTGCAGTTAAGATGTTATAAGTACTATATTTCATAAAGTTAGTGTTAATAGTTTGAAATATGGTGTATCATACATTAGATAAAAAGATTTAATTATTGATAAATAAAATTAATTTTTATATTTGTAGACATCCATTTATGTCCGTAAGGTCAATTGGACCGTATTTTATTATTCTTTATTATAGTATTATTATCATATTATTATTAGTATATTGCATAGTATTATATCATATTATTATATTATTATTGTTATTATTATCATTATTATTATTATTATTATTATTATTATTATTATTATTATTATTATTATTATTGTTGTTGTTGTTATTGTTATTATTTTTTTTTCTTTCTTGTCCTGAACTATGATGGAATTTTGGAAATGGAAGAATTAAATTCCCTAAATCAAAGGGATCCAACCTCCAGCAGTCAAAGGTTTAATTTGTGATCAGTTTCAGATTCAGTCCAGACATATTACTGAAATCTAGTCTAAAGTCATGCTCAAGCAAAATTCAATCCTAGGCTTCAAGCTTGGATTGATTCTATCTGATCCCTAAAATCTTTACTACAAGATGCCTATAAATGGAACCAAGAATTACAAGATAAAAGGGGAAGATTTTTTGGAGACAATGGAAAAGGAAGAAAATTGTTGGTGGTAACAATTCGAGAAATTTTTGGTAGTAGGGTTTGACTTTGATTTTAAAGGGTTTTGGAATTCTAGGTTAGCATTTAGATTTTTGGAGCTTATAGGGAGGTTTTGGGGAAATTTTGGAGCTTTCTGGGAAAATTTGGGTTTTTTTGGAGATTTTAGAAAATCTAGATTTTTTGAAGAACACAAGAATTTTCCAATGAGTTTTCTGGTGGGACTTTGAATTTTCCATCAATTTTTGGCAAAATTTCTAGAAATCGATGAAAAACCCAATTTTCAGTTAAATTTTAGGAAACGTTTAGAGAGAAGGGAGAGAAAGAGAGAGCAAGAAACGTCTGAGGTTCAAAACACTGAACTTGGCTTATATACCGATCCAAAATGATGTTGTTTTGGACAACCCAAGATCCATGCATTGACCTGATGACCCATGCGCCGACCCGCACTCTGATTCGACCCGATCGCTAGGTTTCCTTTTCATTTTATTTTTATTTTTGATTTTAATTTGATTTTATTTTTTAGCTCATTTTATTTTTAGATTTTTTGTTATGGTTTTATTTTTGAGAAATTTTGTAAAAATTATTTCTATTATTTCATTTCTCAAAATAAATAAGTTTTTTTAAAAAAGAAAAACAATTATATTAAAAAAACCTTTTCAAATAAGTCAAAAGAAAAAATAAAAAAAATCTTTTCAAATAAGTTTTCAAAATAAAATTAAAAAAAAAGATCTTTTTAAGTTTTCAAAAAATGCTTATAAAAACAAAAAAAAATCCTTTGAATAAATAACAAAAAAATCTTTTTCAAATAAAAATCCTTACAAAATAAATTCATGAAATGTACCAAACTATTGGAGAATTTTTATGGATTTAATTTTTTAAATAGAATCCACCAAACTATTCAAAAATTTCATAAATCATTTTTTCAAAAAAAAAAAAAATATAATAATTTTTATCCTCTAAACTATTAGATGATTGATTTCTAAATTAAGTCTTACTAAACTAATGGGAAACTTAATGAATTTTTTAAAATATGATTTTTTGTAAATATCTTTTTGTAATAAAATCTCACCAAACTATTGGAATGACTGCTTCAGAGTAAGTCCTACCAAACTATTAGGAGACCTTAGTAATTTTTTGAAATAAAATAAATTAATAAATCTGACGATAAAGTCTCTTCAAAATGGGACACTAGTCTCTATAAATACTCTTAAGGTGAGAAAATTATCTTAAATTACTATCAAACTATTGAGATAATTTTAAGACTAATTTTTAATATTAAATTATTTGGTAAGTCACAAATATGATCATGGCTTGGATAATTGGAAGTCAAACTAGTACCATCCTTTGGATGGGCATCATGAGTGTGCTATAACATTTCCCATGCGTAACCATACTCTCGAACCTAACATCTGGTTTCGTGGATCAGAATATATTTTAGGTGGCTAATCATACCTAAACAAAAAAGATTGGTGGCGACTTTTTCTAATCCATGTCTAGCGATAGGTCTACGGATCTATACGTTAAAAGAGTTTGGTGACTCTGCTAGGGACATCGAGAGTTAGGCCATTAAATAATTTATATTATCCAAGCTTGCTTAATAAATTTGAGATTATTTTCTTTTTTTCCTATTTCTTTCTTGTCATTGTTTATATTTTGTTAGTTATTCACCTATATATATCTGTCATTCATTTGCACATGCATAACATAAAGCTCTCCACCTGAGCTCTACCTTTATAAAGAAGCTAAGTAACTATGCCCTCGTGAGATTTCATGTCTCCGTATGAGCCTACAAAACACTCCCACTCAGATTGAACCATTTCCACTTGTAGCCTATGATGGGTGAAAATCAAGAGTGCCTTACTAGTTTAATAGACTATGATGTAAGGAACAATTTGGGAACCTTTAGAAGTAACCAAAATTGCATATAGTTAACTTTAAAAGCCTAACCATAGATAGAGCTATGTCCTTCCACCCTTTATAGTTAACCCAAAATTTAGGGTCATGTTGTTATTTTACTTGTTTTATAATGTCTATTCTTTATCTTTTATTAAAGCAACTAACCAATTTTCTTGTCTTCCTTTTATTTCTTTTCTTTTCATGCATATTCATAAACGTACATGCAGATTGAATATTATGCTTACTAACCCTTTTTTTATTATGTATGTATGCATTCATGCATCATGGCATTCATTCTCATGCATAATCTGATGGGTCCATAAACATCATTCTAAATTTGCACCATAATTATGGAAATCAAGGTTTAAGGATAACTCAACACCAGTACTACACTCGGGCTAGAGCTAAGAAAATGGAGTAGGATAATGCAAATCATCTCAAAAAAGAATAAAAAAAACCTAAGAGATACTTAGGGAAAATTAAATAAAATTATGGACGCTCTTGAAAAGATGAACAAAGGAAAACAAGTGGAAGAAAATGGTTCGCATGAAGTTACTGAATCACCATATCCACCAAGTTTTAGTCCATATTAGACCCAAACTACTGCAAGTTTTCAACCACAATAGACCACATTTTCGAGTTACAAAATGCCTTATGCACCTGATCAAGGGAATGTTCAGAGTTATATCAACCCTATCTTTGTTGAAAAGGAAAATGAGCCCATTCAAACCCCCAAATCAGATGAGACAAAAAAATGTGAAGTTCCATATGGTTACACCCTCATAGGATTCAAAGACTAATTAGGCCATGAGCATGATTAAAGAAAGACTCCAAGTTGTGGAGGGCATTGATTTCTATGGCTCCATGGATGCTGCCAACCTTTGTTTGGTTTCGGATGTTGTAATTTGTCCAAAATTCAAAGTATCAAAATTTGAGAAATATAATGGTACTAAGTGCCCCATTACACACATCATAATGTATTATCGTAAAAAGACAACACAAGCTAGCAATGAGAAGCTACTTATGTATGTGTTTTAAGACAGCTTGACTGGGTCTACTACAAGATAATATGTCCAGTTAGATAAGACTCGCATTAAGTCATGGAAGGATCTAACTCTATCTTTCATTAACCAATATTGCCACATTATAGATATGGCTCTTGATCATCTCTCATTACAAGGGATGGAAAAGAAAGCATCCAAATCTTTCAATGAGTATGCCCAAAGGTGGTGAGATGTCACTGTTCAAGTACAACCCCTTTTAATCGAAAAAGAGATGACAGTGCTATTTGTAAGCACTTTCAAGCGGCCATACTATGAGAAGATGGTAGGAAATGCAACTAAGAATTTTGTCGACATGGTGATTTCAGGAGAAATCATTAAAAATGCAATCAAGAGTAGTAAATTGGAAAA